TGTATTAGAATCCCATATTAAATTGGTTTTGAATATACAAATAATCAACTTGAGAATAAAATATTTAATTTTGTAATCCAAAATTTATAAAATTTACTCTTTGACATATTAATATTCAGCAAAACTTACCATATAGTAAAGATGTAATTCAAAATTTTACTAATACTATTCTAATAATTTATATATATATATATCAGTTTATAGGTTTAAATATTATTTATATATCAGTAATTCAAGTTTACAAGACTTTACAATTCTATTTTATTTATTTAGTATATTTAAATAAATATATTATTAAAATTCTAAAAGGTCAAGATTTTGAGAGTTTAAAATTTTGAAAGATCAACTTTCTAATAGTCATCTAATGAACTGATAATTGATAATTGTTAAGAGCTATAATGAATAACTAATGAAAATATATGGTCATCTCTTCAAATTAAATCAGCACTAGAATTTTGAGAATTCATTTAATTGTTTAGATAACAACTTAGACAGTTCAAAGACTTACACATAATAATTAAGATTCTATAAGAGTGACAATTTTGTTTTTACAAATGATTCAACCTATAACAATAGAGACTATTATCATTTATATTAACACTAATTATAATTTAGTATAATAAACTTTAATTGCCATAATATTAATAATCTAGTTTTTTTCAGTTTCACCAGAGCAAAAATGGATGCATAATTAAAAATTATAGTTGATCTGCATTATCTCTGTAATATGTGAGAATTTGTTCAAACTCTATTCATCAATTGGTTATCTAATAATGATATATATAAACATTATATACAATAATATAACATAATTGGTTTTAAATTAAAGAAAAATAATTGCACAGTTGCAATAGAATTATTTTTATTCTTATTGTTCTGGATATAAAGCCAAATCATTTAATATAAAAAATATTTGAAGTTACATTATAAGTGTAACAAATATTACAAAAAATGTATGTCTATATTAGTCACACATTCATTTTTTGCTCAGGAGATACTGGGTAGTTACACTTCACACAATATATATATATACCAGAAAGAGTACAATATTATAAAACTTTGTTTTGCTTTCTTAATTAAACATAATACTGACTTTGTATATAACAATAGTAAAAGAAAAATACTGACAAAATATAGATCCCGGGTGTGGCGACTTAGTGAAGTGGTTAAGTTGTCACACCCCCAAGCGATATGTCAGCCAGGTAGGGGGTTCGAAACCCACTGGCGACGAATTTCGAATATTCTACTTGTACGACGGATTGTCTAAAGAAGAAATCGAACGCATGACGATGAGTAAGCTTTAAAAGATTTATTATTATTTTAATAAATTAATAATGTTATAAATTCTAATAATTATTTTTTGACTTGGGTAGTTGCAGATGCCGAGAAATATCATGCAGAGGATGAAAAGGTTGCTCAAAGAATTCAAGCACTTAATGGTTTGAAGCGTTATGCATACAACTTGCGAAATACACTTCAAGTATGATTATGAATTTAATATTTTTTTCTAGCGCAAACATAAGAATTAAATTAAATGACCTCTATTAAGCAACTTGAAGATGCTATTCAAGAAGCAACTACATGGCTCAAAAACAATCAAGAAGCTGAAAAGGAAGTATATGAGCATAAACAGAAATCACTTGAAGAAGCTGTCAACACAATAATCATGAAACTTTATGATGGTGAATCTAACAGTGACTTCCCAGAAGGTCCAACGATTGAAGAAGTTGATTAATTACAGTCATATAGATTATTTAATAAATTAGCGATCCATTTAAATTATTTATACAAAAATTTTGGTTTCACAACAGTTTTTACAATAAAATTTTTTGAACGGATAGTTGGTAGTAATAAATATACCATTTTAAAAATAAAGCTATAACGCGAATCAATGTTCACTATTTCCAAATAATGAACAAAGATTTGTAGTAGCATTATTTTTAAAACGGTATATCTATTACTACAAGCATACAACTAAAATAATATTAGCGTTAAAAAGACACATTATGTATCGATCGATATTTAAAGATCTATGTTTTTTGCTGGATGGTTTTTTCCTTATTTGTTTGTGCCGTGTAACTTTTTTTTGCCTGTTGTGCTTGTGTTTGTGTGATACTGTTTGCTATTTATGTTTAT